CGACAGATATTTCTCTGTTCTCTTTCGCATACGGCAATCACAGTTATTCACTCTATTTGTAACATACCTAATATATGTGAATGAAAGTGACTTATATCAAACATCATCTCATCTCTAATTTATGCTGTAAACTATACTTGCGTTTTCTGCCATAGGTCACGAGGTTACTTTTCATAAAATCTTAAAACTTTCATAAAATCCCAGACAGTGTCTGTGGACTATTTCCCAAAGCTTCGAGATTAACTACTATACAGTTCCAGAATCCATTGAGAATGAATAGAAAGTGTTGAAACATACGTGAAATCACAAGCCTGAGGAAATAAGAGTCGCCGTTCTACCATTGATTCTGCGGTGAATGAGCATCATAAGCATGCAAATAAAATCATGGAGACTAACGACGAAAATGACAGTAGGTGAAACATTGTCAACGAGGCGTCACCAGCACCACAATCCAGTCTATTTCACTTTATATTCGTTTTTTTCACTTTTCATACATTTACAAGCAAAATTAATAACATATTTGAAAGCAGCAGAGAAAACTGCATCGAATGATATGCTGGGTAAACATTATATATTGTGTGAAACATTTTTAGTGCACACTCACTATTTCCCACAATACTCTAAAAAAGATCCGAACTTGGGATGTTTTTTATTTCAAAGTGGCTCATCGTGAAAGAAAACTCTCTTTTATTTTGCACTGTGTTCGGTATTAGTATAAGCTTTGTAAGTAGCTTTTTTGAGATTGTTTTCACTTTATCTCACAAGTATTTTTTACGCTGTAGGAAAGCGACAAACAAAAGTCACAACAGAAAAGGTAAGTTAATTCCTTCATCATCTCTGTCTAATGTACAACACACAGTAGAGAATTGGAAATGGTAAAACGTTTTCTATATCCTGCACTTTCAGATTCTCCTTGGTCAAAATAAATGGGCGACATTTATTACTCACCGGCAATTCCGTAACCCATAAGTTGAGATGAAATAATGAAAAACAGCCCTAAACCATAGCTTGTCTTTTGATTAAAATCTTTCTGCTGAACAACGACAATATCATTCGTGTAAATATACGAATTTGCCACTTGGATCATTATGCAGATAACAGTATGTTCTTTGATTGTAAATACTCCTGGGTTCAGAGACAGATTCCACCGCCAAATTTTAAATTTTTTTTCGGGCAAACACCACATCAGTATCTTCCCCAATAGATAAGCCAAAAGCCATAAAAGAACTGACGGTATTGCATATGCTTTAGCTCTGTAGTTAAAATACTGACTGACGGTTGTTGCAAGGATAGTCAACGATATACCAATCAGCCAACTTCGAAATGTTAAGCAAAGCATTTGAGGGTCGTCTTTGTTTGATACGATTCCAGCAATTTCTTCATAGGATGATTGTTCAGAGTCGATATAGTTACTTTTAACGTCTTGAACGATTTCAGGTACTGGTTCGCTAAGTTCCATGTTTCCTTCTACGATGTTACTTTGTGCCATTTTAACGTTTCAAATTTAATAATAGACGGGAAAGATGAGTAATAATAATATTTGGATGAGACTGCTGAGTCTTGCAAAAAAAGTACAAAATGACTCGTAGCGTCTATGGATATGCTGCGATACGCATAAACCAAAAACAGCATCTAACTTAAAGACACTCTTATAACGCATTATCTGACAGACATGAATGTGATATTGTTTACGAAATAGTAAGGAGAGGCGTTACAAATTATTCCCCTATCGATCGATTCTGTCGGCCTACCAGCTTCTGTATAATATAGCACTACAGCAAGTGACAATAGTTTCACTGTCTTTCAAATCACTTTCTGGTAATCTTGAAGAACATCTGTTAGCTCTCGAATTAATTTATCGGCTTCTCATCTACTGTCCGTTTAAAAAGTCCATACGTATGACCGTGTTTGGAATAACTAGAGAACAAAAGGAGATAGAGAGCTGCAGTTTTCACTACTCGATAAAGCACACGCGATAGCATAAAAGTTTGTCAAAATTTGATTGATCAGCAATTGACCAATCAAGGTGAGCTTTTCCTTGATATTTTCTAGGCGATATTCTAAAAGCGTTCTCGAGTGGATTTTGGCCTACGGTCTAACTGTTCAGTGAAACAAATTGTTCTCTTTCTATCTACGCAAGGCCGACCTTGCTAGCTTGTTCCATTCAAGAACTATAAGCATGTTTCGAGAGTCCCCGACATCGGCTGTTGAACCTTGGATCATCAGAAAATAGGTCAACATAGCGGCAATTTTCAGGACTAATTGCAGTGTGTCTCAAAGGACCCTTGTGGAAAATATTTTTGAATTACTCCTCTGTTTCATTGAACTTAATCAATATTTTTTTTCCATATGATGCATATCACCGTCACGTTTTTATTGATATGAAAAAAGCCTACAAATATTGCTCAAAGGTATCACCTTGGACAGAAAAAACATTGCACAATATTTCTGTTTTTATCGCTTTGATTTCTCGAGTTATTCTCGTCTTTAAATCATCAATATCTTGTACTCTCGTTTTATAAATGTTCGTTTTGACATGACTCCATAAAAAGAAATCCAACGGGATGAGGTCTGGTGATCTCGGAGCCCACGAAATGGGTCCACCTCTTCCAATCCAGCGACCAGGGAACTTGTTGTTGAGCCACGAACGAACTGCCTTTGAGAAATGTCCCGGGGCACCACCTTGTTGGAAAATTACCTCTTTTGTCATCCGTTTCTGTTGTAAGATCGGATAGAAATATCTCTAACTAACACTATCTAAACGCTATAATTTATTAAGAGATGTACCTAAAAGCATATCTTTCAAATGCAGTTCTTGCATAGTCTTCTATGAGGTCATGTCAAAACGAACATTTATAAAACGAGAGTACAAGATATTGATGATTTAAAGACGAGAATAACTCGAGAAATCAAAGCGATAAAAACAGAAATATTGTGCAATGTTTTTTCGGAAATCAGCAAAAGAATGGATTTTTGTATTTCTGTCCAAGGTAATACCTTTGAACAATATTTGTAGGCTTTTTTCATATCAATAAAAACTTGATGGTGATATGCATCATATGAAAAAAAAATATTGATTAAGTTCAATGAAACAGAGGAGTAATTCAAAAATATTTTCCACAAGGGACTTTTGGGACACACTGTATAAGTGAACTTAAGTATACATAGAAAAATTAACTTCAGATGTGTCATCTATAACTGTTGTAGATTTGACTGATCGTTTTCCCGAATCTCTACGATCAGCTATAACCCAGAACAAGTAGCTGAATCGAACTAGAAAAGGGTATGGAAAGATATATAGAAAAAAAGGAGAGTTTTGGTAAACAACGCTAGGAGTAAAGAGCAATAAGTCTCTTTGAGTTTCACTTAGTCAACTTAATTAAACAGAAACAAATGCCAATGAGTTGTATTTGTAAGTTATACAAAAACACTTCCTTCTTTCCTTTTAATTATTCTCAACATTAAATACAGAAAGAGTGACTTTTCGTCTAGCTAAGAACTTGCCGCAATTTGATTTTCTAATGTTATTATATTCCAGAAAGTTCGGTGAAATATTAGATTATATTTCCAGTGTTTTTCGTAATTTAACCTTTTTTTGCTCTACCATTTATACAAAATAATCAATAATTATACTAAATGAATGAAAAACTTATGTGTCTGGGTAACAGAGTCACTGGTTGCATATATTGATCCTTCCTTCTTTAGAAGTTGCACATCTAATGTTGTAATATACTTGAAAGTATTTGTGTAACTTACGGTAACTCTAAATAACAATAATAATGATGTTTTTGTTGACTTCAGATTAAAAATCGCTTCTATTACACCTGTTAATGAGGAAAATCATTCAGGCATATTAGGTTGAAAATAAAGCAATTCTGTAGTGTTTTTTCACACACCAACGTAATACAGTATGAGCACGACACGGTAGATAAATATTGATTTCGTGATTAGTTTGATAATAAATATACACATTTTACCAACAACAGTAATGTAATTAAGAGTAATTTTCTGAGAGAGTGTAAAAACTGTGCTTTTTTTTGCCTAAAAAATATTTTTTATATCAAACCACGATCTCTGACATGAGTATATCGATTAATCAGGCTACGTTGACTCTCTCTTACCCTTAATCATGTCTAATGAACGTTAATGCAGATATTCATCAAGTATCAAAGTACTTTAAAGCAGTTTTTTAGCCCAAAAGTGTACTTTTTTCTTTCGTAAAAATTTTTCGCGTTTGATTGTGATAGTTTATTGAAGTTTATTGTTGTGAAAACAGTATACAATTTTGTTAAGGATAAACTTAAGTGCGTTACAAAAGAATAGATGTTGAAAATTTTCTTTTCGTTCTGTTCGTACCGTAAGTAATACATCTGTAATTAAAACTATTTAAACAAGTTCGAATAACAAAGAATAAAGACAATTGTAAATAGAAATCATTGATCTATTTTTTGTTTTATCTGATTGCAGTAAAGTTGTATATCGTTCCTTAAAAGTTTTATATAAACTAATTCTTTTGCTATATCTTTTATTTTAATATGTCGTAAAAGTTTCATTAAATATTTCATTGTCTTTATATATTAGTAATTTTGTTCAGCAAACACACTACAACATCTATGAATGTACTTTATATTATTCAGTCAATCACGTTGGTAAGTAATCTGTTTTTTTATTTGGTTATGTGGAACAGCAAACTTATCCATTATGGCATCAGCTATTTCTTCGAAAGCATGCAAAATTGATTACACCAAATGTGTTATAAATAATTCATTTTGTTGTCCATTTAAACGATATAAGAAAGAAGGTATATTTTCGTGCTCAAATTTGGACGAGAATGTTTCGTCTTATTTGAATTCTAAGAGAATTAAGTTAGAAAAAAATCAAAAATTATTAGAGTTTGATCTTATTTTCAATCGAGCTAATTTAAAATTTGATCCAAATATTAGTCAAATATGTGCATTCATTATTCATATGGAATTTACTGGCAAATATCAGATACATGCATGTATCCAAATGATAGACACCGTACAATTAAAGGACGACGTAATCAAATACGAATATTATCCAATGCGAATCTACAAGAAATTTTTCCAATTGAGGATAAATTATGTCGAAGCCATCTTGAATCACAAACATCAAATAATAACGAATCTACTGGTAGTAAATCCAATGATGATATGGAGGTTGATCTAAACTATGAACTACCTGCTCTAGATGTTCAATTTGAGGATATTCAACGTGCATTAGACAAATTACGTCGATTAATATCCGAATTGAATGTTTCACCATCATGGTATATTATTCGAAATCAATGTATTGATCAATTATCTGAAAGAGCTTTACAGTACCATAAACAAAAATATAATGAAGCCACATCTACTTTTAAAGAAATTTATTGTGAATCAGTTGTTCCTGGTCAGGATACCGCACTAAGATCCATGATAACCGATTCATCTGAGAGTACTGATTCAGATGGTGATGATAAAATTCCTGCACATCTTAAAGTATTATATGATGCATATGTTAATGGTGACGAAAGATAGCGTTTGCTTATTTTAACAATAATTGTTTCACAGAAATTTTCAAAAGATGAGTTAGCTAAAGTCTTCGAATGTACTAAACATAAAATTGATTTAGCACGAGCTTATCGACAGAATTATCAACCATGTGGAACGAAACCATTATTAGTAATAACACGTAATCGTTTAAATCCTATTAAAGTTGAACATTTTTTAGATTTTCTTTTTTGCAATAATTTATTGCAAGATGTTGTATGGGATGAGCAAATTACAATATGATAGTGGTGAAAAACAAAATGTTGCTGAAGCTATTCTAACAGCTTCAATTAACAATACAATTTGATGTATAAATCAATTTGTGAACAAACATCATTCATACCAATATCAGACTCGAGTTTATATCGTATTTTAAGACCAAGTCAATTGAAAACTTTAAGTGGTCTTGATAATGTTACAACTGATGGACTAGAAGCTTATTCTACTATTGAAAATCGTTTATCACAACTAAATTTAGATCCTTCAATTCAAAATCGTATTAAATTTAATCTTACTAAATCTAGATGTTATTTAAAATTGGGTTAACAATTACTTAGGGTATACTAAAAGTACGGGCAGTGACACTTTAATATCGTATAGTAGGCTTAAAGTAACTTTCGTCTATATAATCTGATAGAGAAAAAAAAGCTGTCTTTCTATGCTATTTGATCGTACTTCAACTACTTACATTAGATACACTGAATAATCATATAGAAAAAGGTGATAATATTGATATAAAAAATGAATTACAATATGATATGCATACATCTCAGAATTCAGTAATTAATTAGATAAAACATCTTATAAGGGACGTTCAACAAAAAAAAGCCAAAACTGATGAAATGCAACAGCAAAAATAAATATGATTTATATAAAATAAAATGTCAGCAAAAGACATACACTACTGAAAAAGAATATATGGAAGCTTGAAAAAAATTCGAACAGGAATGCCGACTAGAAAAGAAAACGTATTATAGAAAACTGTCGACAGATATGAACAATTCCTCAAAGCTGGTGGCGTATGATAAAGAGTAGTGTTTTCAGGGGAGCAGCAACGTCAATTGGCCCGCTACTGGACAAAATAAAAAATGAACTTGTGTGTAATCCATCCTATAAGGTCGAATTGCTCAATGATCATTTTGCAGATGTTTGTACTATGTCATATGGAAAAGCAAATGACATTCTCAAGAAAAAGCCTAAACCGAGAGCGTACTTAACACATTCAGCACGATGTGAGCCACCGGTGGCTCACGGTATGTTCTAACGAGAAAAACGATAAAAGAATCGTTTTCTTTGCTTCTCTTCTCTAAGTAAAGAGAGACGGTCACTTCTTCACTGATTCCCTGTTCGCGAATACTTTAATATTTTATTATGTAGTGTAATGCTTTTCATTAAAGCAATCCAGACAAAAGAATTTGTCGCAATCAGATCAGAAAGTTTTTATTCTTCTTACTGCCATCGCGCTTGCTTCTCTTGATTCTTGTTTTCTAATTTTCTCATAACAGCCAGCACAGCGTCG